CACCATTCGATTCAGCGACGTCGAATTACCTTTGTATCAAACTGTCGAGAACTTCTACCTGAAAGTTTTTCCTTCACCTCTTATTGACTGGGCTAGTTGGACGCATTCCGAATACATTTGAACTTTCTCTCTTTTCCCCTTACTTCACCATATTACGTTTCCTCTTGATCTCTTCTCGAATATTTATCGGATCTTTATCTCTTTTGAAAGTAGAAACTTTTGTGTTAGTATGTACTATATATATATAATCAGTTCTGAAGGCAACGTTTAACAAATCGTCAAACGTTAATTACTATCGTTTAACGCATTTTCCTCTGTACTTTATGCGTTCTTCTCTCTCTCTGTCTCTCTTTCTCTTTTTCTTTTTGACCAACCAATATCGTTTCGATAATAGCTCGTTTGTTTACTGGCTTCGCGGCGTGTCCCGTGGCAAAATTTGAAAGCACTGGCTTCTATACATTGCCGGATGTGTTTTAATTGAGTTTCCCGTTAATTAATTTACAGTTCTCTCTTTCCCTCTCCCTCCCTCTCTCTCTCTCTCTTTATATTTTTCCCTTTCCATCTATCTATCTCTTTTTCTCTGTCTATGTGCGCCAAGGGCATTATTATCACGATGAAAATTAGTTTACGAAATCGGAGATGATAATTCGCAGAGTCGTATAACTTGCGACACGACCCCTCGCAACAACGTCGATCGTGTTATTAAACTGAAATCGAGTAAGGAAAGTCGGAAGTTGTGTAAAGGTCGCAATTAAAATGTTATTTATTCTCGTTAACGTAGATTGGGAATCAGATTAATTAGCCACAGATTTCCTATATATAATAAATCATGAAGGAGTTGAGAACCGGAATTTCTCCGAAAGCAAACAAAGAAAAAGGTTTAAATACTTAGCAGTAATAATATGTTGAATATTTATAGCGAATTCATGTGATATCACCTTCGAGATATTTCAATTAAACGTTAATAGTAAAATGACCCACATTTGAACTTACCCGGACTGTCGTCCCATTAAGAAATTAAACAAAAATATAATAATATTTATTTCATAATTAAAAGATACACAATTTAGTTTGGGAACGATGAGCGCTTTGAAATCATGTTAAAAGAAACTAGTCTTTTATTGTAAAAGGAAGAAAAATGAATGATCTTAAAAAGTGAAGGGGGGGATTTTTTTCCGAGTGATGCACCGATCTGATTGATATGGAAATTTCGCGTCGGCTTTGGGCTTTCATCGATCACAAAGCAAACAGACTATATAATCGATTAGCTATGTCTTCAATGGGCAAGGTAAATGTACTCGTCGTATACCTAGCGACGCTTCGTGCCTTTTGTTCCGTGCTCCTCCAATCCGATCAACTCGCGAGGTGGTACTACTCATCCTCCCCCTCCTCCCCCTTGGTTCAACGTTACAACGTCCTGTGGGGGTGTAGGATTGTTAGTGGCAGAAGCGATGATTGATGCCGACGAGCTTGCGACACAGGAAACAATGGCTGCTTCGATTGGGCAACAATGCTTGGGGGTCGCCGTTGTCGGGGCAATCTCGATTGGTTAGAATTCGCGAGCTTTCTCTCCTCTCATCGTCGGATTTCCGATCGGAAATCGATTCGTCCTACGCGATCGCCCATCAGGAATTCCCTTTTCTTTTCTTTTCAAAATCTTCAATAAAAAGACATTTCTCTTAGTCTCTTATCACACACTCATCCATCTATACGCACATACACTTACTTACGTACCTACTATCAAAATCACGTGTGTATATCAACGAATCAAGAGGAAGATATTCGATGTTTATACAATCAATTGTCTCTCGAAATTGTTTCGAATTGTTTTCCCGAGCTTATAGATATTGTTCGATAGTATATTTCTTTTTTTGATATCCTGTTTTTTTATATGAAAAGAAAAGAGGAACAAATAAGGAAGGAAAAGAAATAAACAAGGTAAAAAATATCCTACAAAACGATGACCGTTCTTTGAAAGATTAATCATTTTACTATTCTCTTTTGTATACACACACGGGGTACGTTGGATCAAAATCGAGATTATCGATTCTCGAATGTATACTATCTAACCCAATTTGATTTTGATTTCTCGCAGGGATTGGTCTAGCAATACAGTTTTAATTCCTCCCTCGTTACTAACGATCACTCATGGATCTTGATTTATATCCGAGCACGGAGACACTCCTCCTGGCATTCGTAATCGCTAAATGATCGATAACGTATCACACGTGTCTCGTTTGGTAAAATGAAATAGTCATGATTAAGCTTGCTGGCTGTCTCAATTGACATAATTAAAGTCGTGTATCTGTCGATCGATTCAAACGCATTAAATTAATAGTAATAGTAAAAAAAAGAAAAAAGAAAAAGCATAAAACAAAAAAAAAAAGAAAACATTCCTTTTTCCAATATCCTATTATTGACCGGAAATTCGCTGGGCAATTTCCGTTCCTATTTCTCGGTTCTTATTGGCCAATGGGAATAGCGCGTCTTGAAAGCAATACGTCCGTCGATCGAACATGATAATAGAAGCCAACGGAATTCGGTGTCGAGTTGTGCGAATGCTATCGAGCGTTATTTTATCCATCCCCTGTTCCTATCATTTATCTTTTTGTTTCTTTCTTTCTTTCCACTCTTCCTTTCTCTACTTCTTCCTTCTCTTTTCTGATATCCAACATCCGACGTATTTCGAGGAGCGTGTAGGTATATAGAGAAGGAACGCGTTTTCCAATATTTTTCTCAGAGACAACACTAACCAGCGACAGCAGCAGCAACAACAACGGCAAGGGTGTGCGATCGCGAGTAGGAGATTCTAGGGACAGAAGGGTTGTAAAGGATAGACGATAAAAAGGAAGAAGAGATTAAAGAATGAGCAGATATATTCAGGAAAAAGCATTGCACGCGGGTTCGCTACGTTCCGGAATGTCTCGACATGCAAAATAACAATTTCCATGCTCGAAAGTCACGAACCTCGGTTGCCCTTCTCTTCAACCCTGTCCCCTTTCCTCCCCCTTTTGCCGTTCCTTCTCTTTGCTTCGAAGGAAAATTTTCTCCTCTTTTTTCCTTTTCTCTCATCTCTTTACGTCATCTCAAGCCCTTCGTCATCTCTCCTCTTTCTAATCCCTTCGTATATTTTTTTGCTCTCCTCCCTTTTCTTCCCCCCTCGGTCAAAGGGACGCGCCGATCTTCCAGTAAATCACGTTGACGCCTCTTCTCGCGCATCAGAGAGACGACCGTCGTATGCTGGGATGGATAAATGGGGTGGCAGGGGGGGTGTGGAGGGAGAGAGAGAATTTATAGTTCTCGGTGCTCGACGAGCCTGTCCAGAAATCGTGCACAGCGTGAATAATTTCCATTGCACGTGTTACGTTTCGTACGTGAGCCTCGACAAACGAGACGAATTTTATTCGTTGGTTAAAAGAGAGTGAGAGAGAGAGAGAGAGAGAGAGAGAGAGAGAGAGAGAGAGTGAGAGGAGGAAAGGTAAATGCGATTTTCGAGTCGTTTCGAATCTTCTCTCTCTTTCTTTTTTCCTTTCTCTTGTTTTCTTTCTTTTCTTTTTGCGTGCCGTGTATATAACGCAACTTCCTCGCGTTTCTAAATCGACGAGGCAGCAATGCACCAACCACCCGGTGTTGTTAACGTTTGGAAATTATTCGATATTCGTTTTCTTATCTATCAATATTTTTTTACCATCTGACAAATCCACGTATCAGGGAATATGATTTTTCTATTGACATTGAGAGAGAGAGAGAGATCAAGAACGCATTGAAAAATCCTGACACGTCCAGCAGGTGTGGGAAAAAAGGTTGTGATAGAAGGAAGGATAGTAACGGAGGGATCCTCGAGGTTACTTCAAACTCTTCTTTCGTTTGACCGAATCAGATCGTAGAGTGAAAAATCTTCCTGATCATGACCGTACCTTGGAAATTTGAGGGGAAAACTGTGTCTCGGAAGAGTTAGCGATAAGTCACTTAGTTTTTATTTTAGCTTACGACCAACGACGACGACGACGACGACGAGGATGACGATCGCAACGATGAAAAAAAAAAAAGGAGAAAAGAAAAGGAAGAAGAGTAAAAGTAGGGAAAGGTGGGGTGGAATACTAGCAGCAGCAGCAGCATGATATGAAAAGAGAAAAAAGAGAAAGAAGGTAGTGGTAGTAGTAGAGTGCTGCCCGAGGTAGACGAAGAAAAAGGAGAGAAAGATGAAGATGCTCACATTTGAAACTGCAACGACCACAGAATTCTTGCGTGTCAGTGAAATCAGGACTGCTGACCGAGCTTCGTGACTGAATGCATCCTACGACACACATATATACACATATACATACTTATACACTTATGTGTTTAAGTAAGTAAGTATGTATATACGTACGCGCAAGCGCATATGTATTTGTGTATGCATGGACGGATACATGCATACATATTGGCCCTGCGCTTACTAGAATTTCTTTCGACATAAAGTTCAGGGGAGCTTCGTTTTCTTGTTGCCGATTTGCTTGCAGCTTCCGCTTGAAAAATGAGACAGTTCGATCGTACGGTCATGTAGTCCTCTGACTTTCACCTGGCCTCTCCTACCCCCCTCAACCCCGAATTTCTCTCTTTTCTCTTCTCTCTATCTTTGTCTCTATCCTACTACTACCACCTACCATCTCCATTACCTCTTCCTCTTTTTTTTTCTCTTTTTGTTTCTTCTCTTCTCTTTTTTTTTCTCTCTCTCTCTCTTTGTCCTTTCCTTTCGAATGTTCTCTCGTACTTGGAATAAAAAGTACGGGTGGATGCAAAAAATGCGAGAAGGTAGACGATAAAAATGTCGAGTGCATTTTTATTCGATCCCCACGCTATCTTTGTTAACTCGTTGGGACAGCGTAATTTTTATAAGGCAAGTTACTATAGAGAACGAATATTTATCGCTCGAGGTAAACATTTTGTCCCCAATTTCTGTCGTAATAATACAAAAATTCGTAATTCGCTAATTTTTAAAATAATAAATTCATTTTTCTGAGATCTCGCTTGATAATAAGTACAATTAATTGAAATTATTGTAGCTTCGCTTACACGCGAGTTTTATATTCGTTCTTGCTTCATTTTATTTTCTTTCAGATACTATTTTCGAAGCAGGAAATTATCATTATGTTATATATTATTTGTGTTCTGCTTATAATAATATTTTTTCGTTGGAATTTATTTTCAGGAACGCCGAATAAAATTATTCTCCCACAAACCCCTTAACTATTCTTTCCGTTTTTCTTTTTTTTTTTACTGTTTTTCGTTCTCGCTTTCTACCTACCCCCCGGTTTTGTTTTCTTTCGTATTATATGATTTTCTGTTGAATTGCGCCAGAAACGTTGTACGAATAGAACTAATCGTTACTAATGACATTAATAACGATATTAATTCCCGAGATATAATCGTACTAACATTAAACGACGACAGGTACGTAATCTTGGAGAAGGAGGCAACACCTGCTTGGATTCTCCGGCACGAAAGGCCGATTTGCATAAGCCAACTGGACTCTACCCGTGTCATCGACAAGGAGGAAATCAGGTAGAATGGATAATACCTGCTGAACGAATTTTCGTCCGGCAACCCTGAGAAAACTTTCGTCAAAACTTATATCTCAGTTTCTATTTTCTATTCTTATTTTCACGTCGTTCTCGTATTCTGTTACGATAAAGAAACTACGATTTTTCGTTTCGCATCGATTAGAAGTAAATGAAAAAAAGCTACATTCATTTTCTACAATGTTTTTGTAGAAAGTCATTGTAAACAAACAAATAGATCAACAAAAAATTGTCGAAAAACGTGATATCGTTGTTTTTTAAAGGTCGATCTAACATTCTAACAACATTCGTGTACATATATAATTAACCCCTTGCATTGTTTGTGTTTTGTGTGTGCACGATTTGATGTGATCTGATTTTTGTTTTCTTCTTTCTTTATTATGCTTGTCCAAAGTACGGAAGCGGAGGAGCCAAGGATAATAATAATAATGAAAAATATAGCTTAGAGATTGTAGACGTAAGAAATAAATTAGGATAAAAATATTAAAATATACAAAAAAGAAAAAAAATAATATAAATGCGATAGCAGTATCGTGAATCGGTGTTAAAAAAAATGTTGTATGTATCGAATTGTTAAACGCAGATAAGACAACTCGCTAGCGGCATATGTATAGACTCGCCAGGAAAACCGGAAGACCTTCACCAGGCCGTGGGTTTATATCCTTGTCACCGTCAGGGCGGCAATCAGGTACACGAATCTGGGCACGTCGCGATACGAGTTGGGGAAAACGAATAACATCGAATTAGTATTTCGGGGCACGCGGTGTTTTACTTACTAACTTATGGGATTATAGTGTGTGTTTTTGGGATTTAGGCTCGGATATGTGTGATCGATTGTGCTGTTTGTGTTTTTTTTTAATTATTATTTTTATTAAGGTGACGGTGTTTTTTTGAAAATCGCTTTTTTATCACCAATTTATCATCAACAACGACAACAACGAAAAAAGTAGAACAAAAATACGCGAGTAAATTAAACGATTAGAAAAAATTGGATCTCTAATTTGTTTTTTTTTTCGATTGAATTATTATAATATATATATATATATATGTAATTGGATGATAAAAATCTAGAAAGAATATGGAATGAAAATGAATAAAGATGAAAAGAACACGCGCGGTTAGATCGTCGTTAATCTTGGCTCGTTTAACGTAATTAGTAACGTCGCTAATCTGGTACGGGTGCTCATCAATCGTCGTACCTCCTGTCGGTGCGACGATCTATAACAACATTCTCTGTTGGCGTAGCTATCCATTTCCTGTCGTCGTTTATAATTTCGGAACGATCGATATAAAGGATAATTCTCGTTGTAATTTCGAATGGCTTCTACGACGACGACGACGACGACGGCAACGCGAGTGACGTTTCCGTCTTTAATGATTTCGAAAGAGAAATAACTAACGTAAGAAGAAGATAAAAAAAACCACAAGAATACAAAACAAAACAAACAAAAATAAAAAAGAATAGGAAGAAACAGGAGAAAGCTTTTGAACAAAATCTTGAAACCTTCATCTCTTATTGTTAGTCCAGTAACGTATCAGCTTTCTCATAATCTTTGTAAAAGGTCGTGCTATACTTCAGAACATTTTCTTTTTCTCTTTTTGTTTTCTTTCATTCATTCCTATTGTTGGTTCTATGGTAACGAGAGTGGATGACAAATTTTTTCCTTGTGATAATCGTAAAATAGCAAAACAATTTCGTTCGTACGCTTACGATAATTTTCGTAAATTAACGAGAGGAGTTACCTTTGTTAACAATTTTTTCTTTTAAGTTTATATTTCATTTTTTATTTTTATTATTTTACTTCTTCCCTTTTTTTCTCACCTTTTCTTTTCTTTGGTTTTTCTTTTTTACGAGCAGTTTTTCCCCTTTTAATTTCGCAACGCTTTCTTTATCGTTCAACGTTCGCGTGTTTTTGCTTTTTCGTCAAGCCGCCCATTTTTTATTAAACGACGACCGCATAAAATCTACCCCCCCCCTCCCTATGTATAGCATTCTATAATCTTTTTTCCACAGAGAAAATTTTTGCCTCGCGTTTAACAATCCTAACGAAAATGGCCTCGCTATACAATCGTTGAAACAATTAATCGTCGCTCACAGTGTGGAATACGATATCCGTACAATTTAACGTTTTCCTCTTTTCGTAACAAACATCCAATGCTTACAACCGCGTACTTAATATTTTAACGAATTTAATCCAATTAGGATTACGAAACCCCGTTGATAACGTTTCATTACAATTGAAAACTGTTTATAAATTCAATAAATTCAATATCTATTCGATTCTTTTAACTTTCCCAACGAAAAAATAAAAAAGAAAACATAGGATCGAAAAACCATTGATTATTTGTTTTTTTTTTCGTACAATGCGTTATTCACTTTTTTGTTCCTATTTTTTTTTCTCTTTTTTTTATTTGTAACAACAACCGAAAACGATTTCTACATAGGAGAGCGTTTATTAATTAATAACCGTACGACGAACGGCTCGTCGAGGATCAAATGTGCAATCTCGTTAGCGAAATTATGTTGTCGCGCACGCATAATGATATTTGCCGACACATTTCCTTTCTATTCACGAAGCATAGTGAATGTGACGCATGGCTAATAACATCTCGGTATAATGCATGCTTGCCACGATTCCTTGCTTCTCATTATCCTAAAGTTACTCTAAATTCTAATTGTTTTTATTGTAACCTTTTATCTCTTTACATTTTTTTTTCTTTACTTTATTTCTTCATTTCTCTCATTGTCTTTATCTATCCGTGTTTCATGTATATACTATACGTACATTAAAATGATTCTGACAGCGATATGAAAGATCAATTATGGTTTCCCCCATTCGTAACTTGCAAATGCAATTATTCCTACAAAACTATTGGTTATATAAAGGAAAAAAAATATATATCAAATGCGTGATTCGCAACGATAACGAATCTTTTCTAGATGAACGTAAAAAAGGAACAATTTGTATAGTCAAATTGGAAATGATTTTTAATTGATAATAATTAGTTTCCTTGTATCGCGTTATTACAATTATATACATTAATATCGTTAATTAGATATTTTCTATCGAATAAAAACAAAAACATCATTCTTGAAAGCAAAACCTTGTAGTAGTTTAAACCATATAATTCCGGCTTTCAAGAAGAACTTTGCATTTCTGGGAATTCGTACGCTCTCTCGTTTTACCAAAGTTAGATTCTGATCGGTTGGAATTGCACAAACGGAAACAGAACGTAGGGAGCTTGTGTAAAGCGATGCAATTTCGAGGACCATTGGATTCGATTATCGACGATCGGTACTGATTAGTAACGCTTTGACGTCGTGCAACGTAATCCGACTTCATACGGAAGAAAGAAGAAAATTGACGAGGGAGAAAGGAATACTACCCGCATACTAGTTAACTATACTAACCCTATTCCTCGTCGTGTTAATTTGCAAAGTTAGTTTTGCAAAGAAGATTTATCATTTTTTTGAAAAATTCACAATCAAACTTCATTCACGAGTTATATATTTTATAATTATATATATACATTATATTATATAATTAATCAGATTAATCAACGTCCACCGATTAAATAGAAGACTTTCTTATACGCTGTCAGAATGATCGTTTTTTTTTTATCGTTTTCTCACAACGCTAACACACATTTGTTCAGTTTGCTATTTTTAATGAATTCTTTTGAATCGTCAAACTAACGTCAAATCATTTGTCGCAGTACTGGATGTTGAGCAAGATCGGTGAAATCCGTAGAGACGAATCCTGCTTGGATTACAGTGGCCAGGATGTTATTCTTTATCCTTGTCACGGTAGCAAAGGAAATCAACAATGGATTTATAATCCCCAGGTAAACCTTTTTCAGTTTTATATTGATTTAAACAAAAGAAATATAAAGCAATAAAATGAATAGTTTACTTTTCTAATACGATACGTAAGATTGATTCCGATGTATTACGTTTCAGACGAAACAGATAAGGCACGGAAGTAGCGACAAATGTTTAGCAATCACCGAAAGCAAGCAACGATTGCTGATGGAAGAATGTTCGTCGTCCGAATCAAGACAAAGGTGGTCCTTCGAGAATTACGATCCCTCGAAGCTGTGATATCGCGCTTATTCTCGTCGTCGATCAAACATTCCACTTGAAATACAAAGGAAACAAGTCCTACCATTCTTCCCAGGACAGAAATTTTCTATCGGCAAGACTCGTTTCGGAAGATAGGCACATTTCAAATGCTGTGACGAACAATATTACAATTTATGAATCGAGATTAACCGTTTTTATCGATTTTAACGAACCGTCGTTTGGTACAGGTTTTCCTTTCTTTTTTTCTCTTTTTCTTCTATTTTGTTTTTATTTCTTATTAGTGATTATAAATATATATTCGTCTTCGAATATCTTCATTCCTTATACGTTTACTTTTCTTCATTATTTCTTTTTTTTTTTTCTATTTTTAAGACGTCGTATCGCAAATCATGGAGAATCATTTTCGAATGAGAATTGTTTTATTTCCTAAGCGTGTTTCGATCACGATTCTCGATGATTCTCGATTGAACGAAGAATTAACGTTAAGATGTGTGTACGTATGTGTGTGTGTGTTTTAAATAACGACGATTATGAACATTAGAAGGAAAGAAAGAAAGAAAGAAAACATATACCTCTACGATATTTTACAAGAACGACGACGACGACGACGGCGACGACAACCTCCTCGAAAAAAAAAAAACGATTTCGTTTTTGCCTTGAACGACACCGCGTATACGAAAAATGTCGAAGAGTGTGACGGACACGTAGAAATGTCGTTAGAATTCTTCTTGTATTTTATTCGACTCGAATGAGAGACGAGTCGTCACGTATGTCTGTATGTTTCATTTATACGTCGATAATCGACGAGTAAATTCATCGATCGTTCATATCGAGGTACAGACGTAAAGATAACAAACAAATTATATGCAAAAATATAACAAACATTCCAATTGTGCGAAGCATGCGAGAAATACGTGTTTTATCTTCAACAATTGTTTTTTCTTTTTTCTCTTTCTTTTTTTTCCACACGTAACTTTTCCAATGTATAAAATATGCATGTGTGCGCGTGCACGCATATGTGTATGCGAATTGTTAGTTTGTGGTTCTTATCTTCTTCTTTTTTCTTGTTATTATCATTATTATTATTATTATTACTATTATTATTTACATTTCAATCTTCCTAAAGATTCGAACGAAAGATATTATTCTCTGCATGGTGCAATAGTTAGAAGGATAATAAGAATATTACGTATGAATAAGAATAATGAGAAAGGCACGAGCGATTTCTGTACATTTATTGTAAAATAATATTTCTATCTTCGACGATGCCAGCTCGGATTAGTTTGTCATCTAATTTAATTATAAGAAACAATTATTACGTACGCGTAACGACGGCGAACATTTGAAAATGATTTCTTCGACGTTTAGGGTTACACGTACGTTTGATATTACACAACAGACAAGGCGTGCCTCCCTTCTTTCCCCCTTTCTCCCTTTCCCCCTTTCTCCATTTTCTCTTTCCCTTCGCCTTTATCCGTTTAAACGAGAAAATTATATTGAAATTCCATTTGCGATACGATTCGCAAATACTTTGCGTGCCAACGAAATCGTGAATACCGTTTACCCCTCCGCCGATAATAATACGTTCTCGAATAGATCATTTTTAAAGTAAACGGTACTACTGTTACAGCCATACTACGAGATCGATTGTTTTTTTGTTGTTTTTGTGAATGAATCAAATCGTCTAAACAAAATCGTATTTAGTTTTGTTAGATAAATCAACTATTACACGGACCGAATCACATATCCTCGCGATCTCGTTAACATATTCTATCAGTAATTGAGAAAAGAACAGTAGGAAACGATATCATTCCCCGTACATATCGATTATTAACAAAAATAATCTCAAAATGAACGAACATTTAACAAGGAAAATATGAAAAAAAAAAAAAAAGAAAAAAAATAGGAGAAAAATGATAAAATAAAGCAAACAGACAGACAACACTTTATACATTTTTTCAACGTTCTTTCAAATATCTTTATAATTATATTATGATGTTCTTGTTCGAGAGATAATAATATTTTAAGATTTCGATCGTGGATAACTTTCGAAAGAAAGCTAATCGTATTTACGATTTCGAAGATTATCGGTCGCAATACTTAGCGATACGAGTATGTATGCGTATATTATACGATTGTATGTATGTGTGTGTATGTACGCATAAAAGAAATGATTTAAGGAAACAGGTCAAGCAAATACATTTACATGAATAATAGTATAATAATAATGTAAGTGATAAAGTAAAAATGAATGATAGAAAGAGAGAGAGCGTGTGTGTGTCAATGAGTATGCGTAAGTGAGTATCGCCCGTGTTCGTCCGATTTTATGGCGAGTGCTTAATTATTATCTAAGTAAATTAGTAATTTCTCCATTGTTAGTCGTAACGAAAAAATTGTTTCATTCGCCTCCTCATCAAGCAGAAAGAAGAAAAAAAAACGAAAGAGGAAAACAAAATTCCTCTCCCCCTCCCGAAAAAAAACAAATATTAGAAGAAAATAAGAGAACGCGTAAATCTTGTAATGTCGCACGGATTGTTGTTTTCCGTTATTGCGACAAATCAATCGAAGGTTTATCAATTAGCTTGGAAATATGAAAAAAAGAAATAATAAAAATGGGAATGTATTATTTCTTTTCTATGGAAAAAACAAAAAAAGGAAGAGAGAAAAGTAACAAGAACAAAAAATAAGGGCCGAAATTGTACATGGATGTGTGTGTAATAATTCGAAAGACATTTATATAGATAGATATAATATATATTATATATTACTATATATTAATATTTATATATAAATACACATATATATTATTATATATATAGATATATAATATATATTATAAATAGGTCATTTTTTACATTTGGTAAGGATGTTGCATATCTCGCATTAGATAAAAAAGTTAAATGAAAAAAAAAAGTGAAAAGAAAAGAAAGAAAGAAAATACGAGAAGATATAGATATGATATTTGAACGTTGCGACGAAGCTCGTCTTCCTTCGATACGATCTACGTCACGCGAATATAAATATTAAATATCGAACGTGCCTTATTTCGTGTATATATAAATATGAATATTGAATTAATATTATTATTATTATTATTATTACTATTTTTATTATTATTATTTTTATTATTATTATTATTATTAATATAATAATAATTATTATTATTATTCATCTATGAAAAGTCTATCACATAATCCTCTTGCAAGATACTTGTGTTAAATAAAGTCGACGTGTTGTGTTTTATATTATTACTAACGTATATCGATCAATATTTTCATCATCATCATCATGATCATCTACATCATTATCATCGTAATCATAATCATTCTTATTGTCATTATCGTCATCGTTATTGTCTCAATGTTATCGTGTCAATCATCATCGCACATCAACCCTAGTCGTCTTCTTTGTTCACTAATACGAGGGATTATTATTAAAAAGACCGATGATGCATTTAATCGATCATTTTAACGTAACAACATATCTACTTGCATGTAAACGGTGAGCATGAAGAAAGAAAGAAAGAAATTGAGAGAGAGAGAGAGAGAGAGATAGCATGTGACGAAAGAAAAGAAAAAAAAATAATAACGATTAAATGTAAATTACGACGATTTTTTTCTTATAGTAAAAAAGTGATCTAATTGTCCTTAAAATGATTAGAATACATGCGTATTCCTCACATTGTCCACAAAATATCAATCACATCGATGATCATTTGTTTAAAAAAAATATCCAACGATGGGAAAGAGTTACAGAGTTGGATATAAAGTATACAGATTTGGATATAAGTATACAGATTTGAAGATAAAAAAAAAAGAAAAAAGGAAAAATCATTTTCCGAATACGATTGTGGAATTTGTTTGTTCTTATGCTAGTTGCGTTATAATTCGAACGAAGGCCACATATCAAGGAAATTTCGTCGCTTATCGAAGGTGGCTGCTACGGAAACGAGGATGAAATCGTTCGTTATTCTCGCGCAGGCGTTTTATCGTCCCACCGACGTAGTCGTCGTCGTCGTCGTCGTCGTCGTCGTCGTCGTCGTCGTCGTCGTCGTCGACGATGTTCTACCTCGACCGTATATAATCTAAGGTGGTTTAACGTTCAATGGATTCTATACATTATTGCAAACTTCCCCATAATACCGTTTTCTTCTTATTCTTATTCTTATTCTTATTCTTTCTACAAAACTATTTCTGAAATACTAAATACTATATCGTCTATGTTCAATCAAAAATTATTAACCAACAATTATATACTAATATAAGTTATTGTGACTCGTCGCATAAAAATTTAGTTATTGATAAACTCAGGTTTTGTAATAGTATCATACGTATTTGTTATATTATAATACTATCACGTCGTAATACCTATCGATGCTTTTTTTTCCTGAGAAATAATTGTTTAAAGTTAAATAGATAATATGTTAACTTTTCTCGTATGAACATAAGGAAAATGTGACAAGTAAATTCTTGTTCGTAAGCAAACGACATTTTTGATCTTATTTGTGATTGACCTAAATTTTGTCATATCATTTCTTTGCAATATTATTTCGATCTTATATCATAAACTCGATTCGTTTATTCAATTTTATTATTTTCGTTAAATTGTTCTCATCCATAGAGAGAAATATTTGTTTCTGATTCCGATTGTATCGCGCGTTTTATTTTGAATATTATAGTGTAATAGAATGGATCTTTTGGGTTTGATTTTGTTTTGTTTCAGGAGATAAATATATACGATAAATAATTAGAAGGTTAGGCTTTTGATATTATAATAAATTATTTGATTATGCACGCTCGAGGAATATGTTATACTACTTGTTGCGGACTCGAGCTTGCGTTCTTGCTATTGATTACCAGAGAAGGAGGATAGGAGGTCGAAGTGAGACGACGTGTTTTCTACAATGTTCGTGAATGGCTACGATCCACACCGTTGCGGATTTTGAGCTTGACCCGGATTCGTCAGCATCGAGTTCACGTTTACCTTCACTTTCGTTGACTATCTCGTCATAGTCAAATATCAATCGGCGAAAGATTCATTCGTGAACTAATGCTAATGAATCTTATTTCATTTCATTCTATCGTTATTTTTTAATTAAAAAAAAAATAACATCCGTTCCTTACAACGTTACAACCTTTTTATTTTATCGCAACGTTTGTACTGCCTATAAAAAGAAAAACTGCAAAAATATCTGATTGTAAGAAGAAAATATATTTAACAAAAAAAAAAAGAATAAGAAAATAGCGCATAAATATTAGCAATATCGTATTACATATTATAATTTGTCCTACATTTCATTTTCTATGTTTAACAAATTTCAGGAATAAAAGATCGTATTGACGGAAAGAAGAAAAAAAGAAATAATAAAATAATAAAAAAAAGAAATGAAAAAAAAAGATAGGAAAGGAAAGGAGAAGAAGAAGAAAAAAATGATAAAAAGAAAAAATGAGAGTAAAAGGAGCTCCGGTTAAAGCGAGGGGATGGATCTCCTCCTCCCTCTGTCCTTCGTCCTACCAACACGCCGACGCGAAACTGTTTGCGTTTATTGCGGCTGCGCGTTTAGGTGCTTTTGAGCTTCGGAAGGGTAGCACTAGAGAAAGATAGAGAAAGACAAGCAGAGGTTGGTTCTTCGTAGTCGAAGCGTACACAGCACCACGAAAACACTCTCTCTCTCTTAATTCTTTGTTCATTCGGTACGGTTTTTATTCGCGTATCCAAAACGAGTACTGACTAACGGAATTCTCAACGTCGGGAGAAAAAGGTGATCGTTGAAACAAAACTTAACGTTTCAGTTTTTTTTGCGTTATCGCTAAATCTTCTTTGTTAGGAAATTTATCAATTGTAGGTATCCTATCTATCTATATATCTTTCTCTCTCTTTCTCGTTCATATTTCTCTCTCGAGATATTTCAATATTTTCTGTCGTTGTTAAAAGAAAATCCTTCGAATCGAAAATAAGTTTCTTATGTTTTTTGCCTTCGTTCGAACTAGCACTGAAATATGAAAGGTTTAGTTTGGTGAAAGAAGAAGAGCTGCTGTTGCTGCTGCTGCTGGAAGAGTTCATTTGTAGAAGAGCTAGCTTGTGCGTGTATAGGTGGAGCGTGGGTTATATGCGAGATAAAGAGAGAAAGAGAGAGAGAGAGAGAGAGGGGTTATCGAACGCTGCTGAGTTTTAAGCCATTTTTTCTTTTCATTCCTTACCCAAATCAACCCCCTGCCCCGAACCCGCCTTCCCGCCTCTCCGCTCCCATTTATTTCGATAAACTTTCTTTTCTAATCGTATCCATCTTTATCCGACGATCACCGGTCTTTAACTTAAACATTACCGTGTGATAACAAAAGGATGCTTTTCCGTGAGGGTTGAACCGTGGCAGAAAGCGTCGAGGAACATGAAGAACATAGTGGAGTGTGCGTGAACCGAGAGACAAAAGAAAGCTGGGTAAAAGTGTTTTTACGGGGCAAAAGTAGCCCGGCGAGCGAGCGGGCTCCGGGACTCGAGCAACAGGTAATTTCCTATACTTTCTTCTTTGGGCCACTACTTTTACTTGACTTCTTGGCGTTCCACTTTTCGAGAGGGCGGTGGTAATAGGGAAGGGGGTTGCTGGATCGAGCGTGTCCTTGGATTTTCCGTTTGTAATGTCCACTCGAGTTTAATCAGACACAATGTTATTCATACGTTTTATCTATCGGATTGGATTATTTATTTTTTAATATAAGTTTCGAGTGATATTTAAAATTTACAAACAATTTTCTTTGATTTATTTTATTATATCGTTAAAAGATTCAGATCTTTCCTATTCGTTCACTTTAGTTCATCCAAATCATTGATTATTTGTCTATTTATTGTTTCTTAATTATAGTTTTAAATACAATTCTTGAGGAATATTTTTTTTTTTACAGAATAATTCATCGATTTATTTTTTAATATATCGTTAAAAAAAAAAATAAGAATCCTCAAAGCGATCTTGATAAATTATAGATAAACCATAATGTATCGTTCGAAAGGGGGGGGTGGGTGTCTTAATGTTCTTAACTCACGCTACGATTATTTAATGCTTTTTACACAAACGTGAAAGAAAGTTAAATAAAAAAGGGGGAGGGGGAAGATTTCTATGGTTAAAATAGGTTAAATTCATTTTGATGAATGATAGATAAGAAAATATATTGCTACAAGGGGAAGTCATTTTACCTCGCAATGAACCTCGGAAAAGAAAAAAAAGAAATGAATAAGAAATAGAGATAAGTTTTGTTTCTTTTTTGAAGTGGGGTGCAGAGGTATAAGAATTTATTGATGAATTTATTCCTACCAGAGGATTAGTTTTCTTCTATTCGTTCTAATTTTTGTTTTTTTTTTGTTTGCTTTATTTTTCTTTTAGGAAAGCACAAGCCCGATGCCGGAAGCTTCGGGATCGCGGGTGGTCGACGAGTCGGATTTTTCGACCTTCGAAAATAAAACGGGTCTCGCCGAAGACATGAAGTTCCTGGCAAGCATGCCAGAACTTTGCGATGTCACTTTTCTCGTCGGTGACACCAAAGAGCCTGTTTGCGCCGTCAAAGCTGTTCTCGCTGCTAGGAGCAAGTTAGTATCGTTTATATATACCAACATTTATTGCATCTATACAATATATCTATAACATATTATCTTCTTGAGTGATAGCAAAACTTGAAGAAGAAGAAGAAGAAGAAGACAAAAAAAAAAGAGAGAGAAAAAAGTAAACATCTATTTTTATCTTTTAATTCACAGAGTATTTTATAAACTATTATACCAAGCGCCGAGTCCGCAACGAAAAAAAGAACCGCCAACGAGAGAAAACAAGATAAAACTATTTTTAAAGAGAAGCTCTGAACCTCTGTTAAATTTACAAAACGCGGCACAGCAGGTAATTAATCGATTTGTTTTCTACGTTGGAATCCTTACGGTCAATCCTTCGTTGAATTCCTTATATACAGAACGTACGTTAATACGTATACAAGATGTCCTTGAATAAATGGAAAATATCTTTCTGATTAATTCTGATATATTAAAAGAAAAATATTTCAATAGAAATATTTGTATATAAATTTTATTTAATATGCCGAAGTCATCATTCATAAAATTCAAATCATTCTGGGACATCCTGTATATACACGTACGAATATGGGACGTGTGTGTTAGATATTTGAGAAATAATTGAAATAAAAATGCAAAACGAGGATGATGCTGTTATTTAGAATTCATAGAAATATAATTTTTTTTTACGAGAGTAAAGAAACGTTTCGACATACTTTTGAATATTTTAAAAAATGTTCTTTTCTCTTGTTCATTCTTTATTAAAAATGAATAATAATGGCGTGATAGTAAGCGTGCATTTGTTATGTGTCAAACAGCGATCAGGGTTTACGCAGCAGCTGGCACCTATACAAGAGGTACTTCTTAAAAGATCGCATTTCGATTTTTCAATAGAAATACTTATTGCACAGCACTGACTATCGATTCCATCTTCTTGCAATTAGAGTGATTTTCATTTACAAATAAACCTTTTAATACACACGAGTAGATGAAACTTGTAAAGATCTATTAGTGAATGTCATGCTCCGTCTTCTTTTATTCGTAGTCATTGCTATTGATTTATCCTGAATGTGTGTTACGTATTTTATATGTTCGTTAGGAAGAATTCGGTTTTATAGAACCTATTAGTTTCTATTCAAATCGATTCGATATTGCATGCAATACTCCTACATCTTCTCTGATATTTCCGATTTTTGTATTTCTTTTTTTTTGATTTTTCATTGCCATTTATTCGCCATATTTGAAAATATGCATGCTTCTCCCTATTTCACGAAGCTCTACGAAATATTGATATCGATACAGGTTTATAAGATTTTCAAGTATGTAGTAAAAAAAAAAATAACACTCGGATACGGTACAAAATTTTCAACGATTCCACTGTATTTTTCTGTTTGGTTTTTATCTTTTTTTGTTTTTGTATCGTGTATACAATTTAGTATAGAAAATTAATCAGGCATAATTCTAATGCACGGTAGATTTTGATTTGGATTAATTATCATCGTTGCATCATTCGTCAATTCATACCTTAATATCAGAACGATCCGAATGATCGAAAAACTTGAATGATTCTTACTTTTACCCATTAAAACTCTTGACCTGCTTAAACTTCATTAGAAAACGAAACAAATAAGTGTAACTTTAATAACATGTTAGAGTCAATTAATATATTACAAATGAATATATATCGTTGAGCCAATGGGTAAAAAAAAATAACGAAAACAAAAAATAAAGAAAAACAAATGCACCTAAGCTGAAAGAAATAGCTTAAGCATGATTATTAACGATCGCAATAAATATCATTCATTTCAACGTTAATGAAGAAACGTTAAATTCCCGTGCTCGTAGCCGCAATCGAATCAACATCATACTCTCACCATTGAGGAGTTCGAGCCGGATGTTTTTCGTCAACTCATCGAGTATATTCATACCGGTTGCGTCACTCTACAACCAAGAACCTTGTTAGGTAATTAAAAAATATTCTTTCCTTGGATTCAATCGAAAAACAATATTGATAGCTTATCGAAGAAACATCGATTATCCATGTTGCGACATCATAATCATAATATAATAATTGTTTTTTGTTTCTGTTTTTTTTTTGTTCTTTTGGAGTAGTATTTTAATATAAGATAAAGAAAAAAGATAATAAATTATTATTATTTGTTTATACTATGAATTATTATTTTCATTCGAGTAGAATTGATCGATCCATAGATCTTTTAAGTTTATTATCGTCGCGGATGTGTACGCGAATTCTAATCGATAGCCGATAAATTACCGTACGGTAAACATTTCGTTTAAAGCAAACACGAGCATGTGTTTGTCCCACCCTGACTATCACGGATAATCAATACTTTATGCGTTACCGAGTCCGACCAATCGACTTTTTTTAATTATGCAGGTGTTATGAATGCCGCTGATTATTATGGATTGGATGAACTTAGAAAAGCCTGTGCTGGATTCGTTCAATGTTGCATAACCGTCGATACTGTTTGTGCATTATTAGCATCGGCTGAACGTTATATACAATACAAATGCACCAAATCTTTGGTTCAAAAGGTAAACAAAATAATAATCGTTTTTTTCTTTTTTCGGTTTCTTTATTTATAAATGGTTGAGGCTATTATTTCCGATGAAATTAGTTTCCAAACTGTTAGTTCCAGCAGATAAGATAAATCTTCGATAAGATACAGATGAGAATATAAAAAAAATGATACATAATATAATAGCGTATCTTTTAATTTAGTAAATTTATTCATTTATTTTCTATTCAAAAGGTATTAGAGTTCGTAGACGAACATGGCAACGAAGTGTTAAATTTAGGATCTTTTACTTTACTGCCTCAACACGTAGTTCGTTTGATCTTAGCAAGAGAAGAATTACGTGCTGACGAATTTACCAAATTTCAAGTGAGTTAAAGAAAGAAACAAAAAATATATTTGATAAAGCGGAACGACATGTAATTTCAACTTATACGGATTTTATTATTACCTTGTATTTTCAGGCAGCCTTGATGTGGAGCAAGAAATATTACGACAGTAATCAAGATATTCCATTGAAGGATATAATCGGAAATTTCCTTGAATATATTCAATTCCACAAGATTCCAACAAACGCTTTGGTCAACGAGGTTCATCCATTAGGGTTGGTACCTGACAGTATCATTATGAATGCTTTAGCATATCAGGTGCGTTTAGTTTATCCAACATATATATTTATTCATTTATATTTATATATTTATATGTATATATCATAGAAAGGAAAAAAATAGTAAATCAGAATTTGGGAAGTCACTTGACCCAGAGATTGTTGCAGGCAGACCCAACCAGTGTCGAGCCCGGGAAACTCTCCCCCCCTAAAGTGAGAAAACAAGGCCGTAGTATGTCGGTCCAATCTTCGTTGGAACCATATGGTAGCAATACAACTTTGAGCTCGAGCGGTTCTGACACTGGTTTCGAGCGTAAACAGCACTCTGGTAGCAACTAACCTCAGGCCACGGCCGCACTGACAGCGGCCGTTTCGGATGAGCCTCGACGCGAGGATATAATCACCAATGGCGAGAAGGAAAGAGGTTTCTACGAGCAACAAAGAAACGGTGATGCTGCTCCGACCGATGCTGAGATTGAACAATGGGAGAGGAAGAAATTACAACGAGAAGAACAACAACGGCACCAGCAACAGCAGGAAGAGGAACAACAAAGACGAAAAGAAGAACAGCAACGAGAAGAAGATGAACAACAGCAACAACAAGAACAACAGTTCCGATTAAAGGAAGAAAAAGAAAAGGTAGAACAACAGCAATTCGAGGAGCAAGAAAGACAAATACAACAGCAACAGCAACAAGAAGAGCAAAAACAAGATCAAGAAAAACAGCAGCAACAACAACAACAGCAACAAAATGTCAACCCGGTGGAAGGAGTACATGGTGGTCTCTACATACGATTAGTTCTCAGACGAGAAGGCCGGACGGACTTGGTTTGGCTATATAAAACGCACATGTTCTAAATTCAAATCTTAGATCTGATATTCTCTCCTATCTGATATTCATTTTCAGACGTTGTTTGTAGTTTAGAGGCATTGTAAATCGAGTTGGATAGAGTTTAAACGAAATGGTTATAGTCATTGCTTTGTCGTCTTTGTTTTTTTTTTATTATTTCATTTTGTAATATCATCGTTTCGTATATTTTCGTTTTATCGATCGATAAATGTTCTTTTGATAGTGTTAAGAAATTTTATAAATAGATATATATATATACATACATACATAGAGATTACACACACGACACATATATTACACGCAGGCAGCACGTGCGAAAAGGAAAAGATGATTAATAGATACAAATGTTTAACATACGTTGCCGCGTTTGGATTTGTTGAAATTTTAAATTAGACGGTTTTTTCCCCTGAATTAACCGTGTGGTTATATCATACATAAAATACATATTACATACATATATATCATCGTAATTGTGCACCCAATTAAGAAGGCTTATAATTGGAACGCTTCCTTCGAATTCGATTTTGTGATACATACTCGATTGCTTTAACGAAGCACGATAAGCACAATTACGCGCCTTATCAGAGGAAAACTAATAGAAAAAAAAGAATTAAAAAAAAATCATTTGAGCAATGTTAACATCGATTGTTAAATATGCTGTGTGAACATAACATATTTAAATAATACATAGATAGATACCATATGTATGTGCGTTGTCAAATATGTATCAAGATTACAAAACCTTTGTAGTTTCTCGTTAATTATATCAGCTAATTTCCGCTGAAATCATCGGGATATAGTTCTTTTTTTATTTCCAGAACGAAACGTAGTATGTTAACAGCAGCAGTAGTGTGTTGCTTCCTTCCTTAATTAATTTTTTATTCGATAAATATTTATACATATCATATATATAATATATATATAATAGGCTATTTTGTTTTACTTATTACGCATTGGATAAAAGAACAAGCATATATTATATCGTTAGTTGAATCATAGTTATCATACATATACACGCATATATATATATATATATATATGCGTGTATATGTATGATAACTATGATTCAACTAACGATATAATATATGCTTGTTCTTTTATCCAATGCGTAATAAGTAAAACAAAATAGCCTATTATATATATATTATATATATGATATGTATAAATATTTATCGAATAAAAAATTAATTAAGGAAGGAAGCAACACACTACTGCTGCTGTTAACATACTACGTTTCGTTCTGGAAATAAAAAAAGAACTATATCCCGATGATTTCAGCGGAAATTAGCTGATATAATTAACGAGAAACTACAAAGGTTTTGTAATCTTGATACATATTTGACAACGCACATACATATGGTATCTATCTATGTATTATTTAAATATGTTATGTTCACACAGCATATTTAACAATCGATGTTAACATTGCTCAAATGATTTTTTTTTAATTCTTTTTTTTCTATTAGTTTTCCTCTGATAAGGCGCGTAATTGTGCTTATCGTGCTTCGTTAAAGCAATCGAGTATGTATCACAAAATCGAATTCGAAGGAAGCGTTCCAATTATAAGCCTTCTTAATTGGGTGCACAATTACGATGATATATATGTATGTAATATGTATTTTATGTATGATATAACCACACGGTTAATTCAGGGGAAAAAACCGTCTAATTTAAAATTTCAACAAATCCAAACGCGGCAACGTATGTTAAACATTTGTATCTATTAATCATCTTTTCCTTTTCGCACGTGCTGCCTGCGTGTAATATATGTGTCGTGTGTGTAATCTCTATGTATGTATGTATATATATATATCTATTTATAAAATTTCTTAACACTATCAAAAGAACATTTATCGATCGATAAAACGAAAATATACGAAACGATGATATTACAAAATGAAATAATAAAAAAAAAACAAAGACGACAAAGCAATGACTATAACCATTTCGTTTAAACTCTATCCAACTCGATTTACAATGCCTCTAAACTACAAACAACGTCTGAAAATGAATATCAGATAGGAGAGAATATCAGATCTAAGATTTGAATTTAGAACATGTGCGTTTTATATAGCCAAACCAAGTCCGTCCGGCCTTCTCGTCTGAGAACTAATCGTATGTAGAGACCACCATGTACTCCTTCCACCGGGTTGACATTTTGTTGCTGTTGTTGTTGTTGCTGCTGTTTTTCTTGATCTTGTTTTTGCTCTTCTTGTTGCTGTTGCTGTTGTATTTGTCTTTCTTGCTCCTCGAATTGCTGTTGTTCTACCTTTTCTTTTTCTTCCTTTAATCGGAACTGTTGTTCTTGTTGTTGCTGTTGTTCATCTTCTTCTCGTTGCTGTTCTTCTTTTCGTCTTTGTTGTTCCTCTTCCTGCTGTTGCTGGTGCCGTTGTTGTTCTTCTCGTTGTAATTTCTTCCTCTCCCATTGTTCAATCTCAGCATCGGTCGGAGCAGCATCACCGTTTCTTTGTTGCTCGTAGAAACCTCTTTCCTTCTCGCCATTGGTGATTATATCCTCGCGTCGAGGCTCATCCGAAACGGCCGCTGTCAGTGCGGCCGTGGCCTGAGGTTAGTTGCTACCAGAGTGCTGTTTACGCTCGAAACCAGTGTCAGAACCGCTCGAGCTCAAAGTTGTATTGCTACCATATGGTTCCAACGAAGATTGGACCGACATACTACGGCCTTGTTTTCTCACTTTAGGGGGGGAGAGTTTCCCGGGCTCGACACTGGTTGGGTCTGCCTGCAACAATCTCTGGGTCAAGTGACTTCCCAAATTCTGATTTACTATTTTTTTCCTTTCTATGATATATACATATAAATATATAAATATAAATGAATAAATATATATGTTGGATAAACTAAACGCACCTGATATGCTAAAGCATTCATAATGATACTGTCAGGTACCAACCCTAATGGATGAACCTCGTTGACCAAAGCGTTTGTTGGAATCTTGTGGAATTGAATATATTCAAGGAAATTTCCGATTATATCCTTCAATGGAATATCTTGATTACTGTCGTAATATTTCTTGCTCCACATCAAGGCTGCCTGAAAATACAAGGTAATAATAAAATCCGTATAAGTTGAAATTACATGTCGTTCCGCTTTATCAAATATATTTTTTGTTTCTTTCTTTAACTCACTTGAAATTTGGTAAATTCGTCAGCACGTAATTCTTCTCTTGCTAAGATCAAACGAACTACGTGTTGAGGCAGTAAAGTAAAAGATCCTAAATTTAACACTTCGTTGCCATGTTCGTCTACGAACTCTAATACCTTTTGAATAGAAAATAAATGAATAAATTTACTAAATTAAAAGATACGCTATTATATTATGTATCATTTTTTTTATATTCTCATCTGTATCTTATCGAAGATTTATCTTATCTGCTGGAACTAACAGTTTGGAAACTAATTTCATCGGAAATAATAGCCTCAACCATTTATAAATAAAGAAACCGAAAAAAGAAAAAAACGATTATTATTTTGTTTACCTTTTGAACCAAAGATTTGGTGCATTTGTATTGTATATAACGTTCAGCCGATGCTAATAATGCACAAACAGTATCGACGGTTATGCAACATTGAACGAATCCAGCACAGGCTTTTCTAAGTTCATCCAATCCATAATAATCAGCGGCATTCATAACACCTGCATAATTAAAAAAAGTCGATTGGTCGGACTCGGTAACGCATAAAGTATTGATTATCCGTGATAGTCAGGGTGGGACAAACACATGCTCGTGTTTGCTTTAAACGAAATGTTTACCGTACGGTAATTTATCGGCTATCGATTAGAATTCGCGTACACATCCGCGACGATAATAAACTTAAAAGATCTATGGATCGATCAATTCTACTCGAATGAAAATAATAATTCATAGTATAAACAAATAATAATAATTTATTATCTTTTTTCTTTATCTTATATTAAAATACTACTCCAAAAGAACAAAAAAAAAACAGAAACAAAAAACAATTATTATATTATGATTATGATGTCGCAACATGGATAATCGATGTTTCTTCGATAAGCTATCAATATTGTTTTTCGATTGAATCCAAGGAAAGAATATTTTTTAATTACCTAACAAGGTTCTTGGTTGTAGAGTGACGCAACCGGTATGAATATACTCGATGAGTTGACGAAAAACATCCGGCTCGAACTCCTCAATGGTGAGAGTATGATGTTGATTCGATTGCGGCTACGAGCACGGGAATTTAACGTTTCTTCATTAACGTTGAAATGAATGATATTTATTGCGATCGTTAATAATCATGCTTAAGCTATTTCTTTCAGCTTAGGTGCATTTGTTTTTCTTTATTTTTTGTTTTCGTTATTTTTTTTTACCCATTGGCTCAACGATATATATTCATTTGTAATATATTAATTGACTCTAACATGTTA